TGGGGTTCCATATAACTGATTCATTGTGAGAATCAATCAATGAACAATGAATCAATATTTCACTCCATAATTATTAAATCGTAATGTGTTGGTATGCATATAAGTAACATTAAAAATATATTATATTGAATTATATATTTTTCATAATATATAAATTTATTTATATATATATATGTGTGTCTGTGTGTGTGTGTGTGTGTGTATGTATATGTATTATTTGTATTGTATATGTATATTTATGTAAGTGCACACTTTGACTACCTCTATTTCCTTCAACTATCCTTCAATAGGCCTGCTGGAAGAAATTTCATCATGGAATAGGCAGTGCCTTTGTACATAATTATGTTTTTACCATTTTCCTATCGAATTATGTGTGTACATAAACTGTTAAATAAATAAATAAATATTTCCTCATTAGTCCATGTCGCCATGTTAAAACAATTTTATTAAGCCGACACTACAGTCTACTCCGACGCGTAACTATGAACTGAACACTCGGCCAACGTGTGAACACTGTTTGCGGCGTGCGCCAAATTCCTTTGATTTGTGCACGGAAAACCGATACTATACGGCTCGTCGGCGAGCGTTGGCCGCAAACGCCAAATATATACAAAACGGCCCAGTACACGTTGGCCGAGCGCACTCGGCGAGCGCGCTCGGCAGATTTTCGTGGTGCCGTTCACACGTTGGCGTGTTTCATTCTGGGTTGGTAGCTAGATGATGATGGACGTTAGGGCAATCGCGGCCGCTGTCATATAATTATACAGCGCTTCACTCTTCTCAGAGTGAACGAAAAAAAAAACTGCACATACAACAATAATCCCAGTTTGTCCTTTTTAGGGTTCCGACCTCAAAAGGAAAAAATAAACCTTTATAGGATCTACTAGCTGACCCTTGCCCGCTTCGGTGGGGGTTTTTTCAAAATAAAAGATAGCCCAAAAGAAGCCCCTAAGCTACATTATCCCTAAACAACATAAACGCAGAGATAATTTATAATAATATTTATCATTAGGTAGGTACTCTGAAATCGCAACTAAACATGTATTATTTAATGCAGTTAGGCAAGTTACTTACTCTGGTTTTATTTTTATGTTGCTCATGTTTGGGGTTCCATATAACTGATTCATTGTGAGAATCAATCAATGAACAATGAATCAATATTTCACTCCATAATTATTAAATCGTAATGTGTTGGTATGCATATAAGTAACATTAAAAATATATTATATTGAATTATATATTTTTCATAATATATAAATTTATTTATATATATATATATGTGTGTGTGTGTGTGTGTGTGTGTGTGTGTGTATGTATATGTATTATTTGTATTGTATATGTATATTTATGTAAGTGCACACTTTGACTACCTCTATTTCCTTCAACTATCCTTCAATAGGCCTGCTGGAAGAAATTTCATCATGGAATAGGCAGTGCCTTTGTACATAATTATGTTTTTACCATTTTCCTATCGAATTATGTGTGTACATAAACTGTTAAATAAATAAATAAATATTTCCTCATTAGTTCATGTCGCCATGTTAAAACAATTTTATTAAGCCGACACTACAGTCTACTCCGACGCGTAACTATGAACTGAACACTCGGCCAACGTGTGAACACTGTTTGCGGCGTGCGCCAAATTCCTTTGATTTGTGCACGGAAAACCGACACTATCGGCTCGTCGGCGAGCGTTGGCCGCAAACGCCAAATATATACAAAACGGCCCAGTACACGTTGGCCGAGCGCACTCGGCGAGCGCGCTCGGCCAACGTGTACTGGAGCCATAATACCTACGTATCTTTATCTCACTCTCTGTGGTCTGACCTCTCTTTTTAGTGTGGAACACAATATTGCTATGTTTTTATTTGAATCTCCCGGTAAATTCTTAGAAATAATTTCCACACTAACTAAATCAGAAGTTAAGCTTTGTAAAATAATGTACCAACAAATAAATAGTTGATCTACGATTAGTTACATTAAAAATTCCAAAATTGAAGGTCTCATATGCATTATTGGGTTCACGAATCAGTGAATTACAATCCCATTTCTTAAGGATTCGGTAATATGGCAACATTAGCCCTATATGGCAACATAAATGAGACAAATATGGCGGTTGTTTACTTAGCAGTTCACAGCGTCGTTTGAGATATTTAAAGTTAATTATTGTTATAATTCAAGAAATGGTGCAAACTTGTGTAGTACGTGGTTGCGACAGTAGTTGGTGTCCAGGAGGTGATATAAGATTTCACAGGTAAGTGTTTAAATAGTGACTTCTGACATTGAATACTTGTAATCATACTTTTTGTATTTTCACTTAATTTTTTGCTGAAACGTTTTATCAGTGTTTTAAACATATTAATAAATTATAACTTTGTCAAAATCAAATAGTTTTACATTGAATTTAATTAAGTTTGAACAATTTTATTGTTTTTGTTTAAAAGAAATCGCACTGAAGTAGTGTGACCATATTGATGATGTATCTGAGACTTTCCGTGTGACCTTAACTAATTATATGTACATGTTTCTTATTATGTTACCGGAAATGCATGAAATTTAGGAATTATGTACACTTCCTATATATTCTATATAATGACGTATTTCATAGATTTCATAATATTAAATTAAAAATGAGTAACATAATATATTCTTTTGGTAGACAATTTATTTTTATTTAGTTTTTGTTTCTCATTATTCTGATACTTTAATAACGCTTATAATAATTATGTATTTAGAAATGTAGTAGTTTAGATGTATGATATAAAGCAACATTTTGTAAAATATGTTATTATTTGCAGTCAATAAGTGCATTACATGAAGAGTCTATTGTGCAAATAGCTGCTCTGGCTGTACCAAGCACTAGTTCTGGCATTTATGAAAGTAGTTCTGCACTTAAGGAAACAGAAGTGAAATGAACTGGCTGTAATATTGAAGACCAAACTAGTAAAAAACAATGTCGAAAAATTCTTGAAAATTTATGCAATCTTAATAAATTACCTGTAAGTGTCCTTTTCCTTTATAACTAAATACATACCTTTTATTTGTATTTATTATGACTTTAATAATACATTACATAATGTATTATATAGCTTAAAACACATACATATTTAAACTCTTTAGTGCCAATCGCAGTGTGGTAATAGTTACTACGACACTAAGCATAAAGCTTCATTTTTGCGTGCTCATGAAGTCGCGCTCCGGTGTATTGTATGTTACCTATTAAATGATGTAAATTTGTACTGACATTATGATGTAGAAGAGTTATTTGTTTCTTTTTTTGTTAGAGTTCTCTAATCTCTGGTTTGATTTGAAAATATTTCTTTGCATTTTTAAAACCAATTCTTCAGGAATCTAACATCACGCTACGACCCTTATGAGTGGAGCAATACGATGTACGATGCTAAAAATACTGATTTCATAAAGTTTTCTTGTTTTCTTAGGTCAGCAGTGAATACGACGATCCCGCGAAGATTGATAGGGGCGTGCAAGTGAAAATAAAGTGTATTAAAGAAGAAATACTTGAGACGAAAACTAAGATTCTTAAGCAAAAAGTGGCGCGCCAAACTAAAAAATTCAGGATAGGTCTTCTTTAATGGACACTATTAAAAAGTATACGGGTCAGTCAGAAATTGAAAATATTATTCAAGGGTGCTTTGCTCATATCTGTAAGGACTTCAAAAAGCCACAGAGTAATCCACATGGTGTGAAAAATTCAATAAATAATTTTAATATGGAAAGTGTTTTTATTTTTTTTTAAGGTTTATAACAAACCATGTAGTGGTGGTGTGAGAATATCCACTACCCCATATCGTTCCGAGGGTGTTGTAAGAGGTGTCAGAGGGAAAATGAAACAGGAGATGGGCAGCGGCATCTTCCTGATAACAACTTAAAATAATAATATATTATCGTTCCTATTATAGTACATAATTATGTTACTAGAAATCTATGAAATCCGTAATTATATAGAATTCCTAGGAATTGTAGATAATTCTTAAAATGAACTGGATGTGTGGAATACAGTATTATACACATTTCAGCTCAGAGCAGCCTGACTCGGATGGTTTAGGTCAGAAGGCTAAGGCAGGAGCTCCGCTACGCTGCTTTAGTCCTCGTGATATTTTTTTTTAAATAATTGTCCAGAAATAGATTTAGTCTGTCTGAACAATAAATCAGGTATATCTTGCCCAATTCATTGATCACCCGGGGTTATAATAAATTTTAATTTTATATTTTGTTGGTACCGTTTAGGAATTGTATACAATAACCAGAAAATACATTATCGATATGGTAGTTATAAAATATTCTCTGATATATTTATTTTCTAAATAGGCTCGGCATTATATGGGTTGTGACGGAAATGCGTGGTCATATTTTAATACCGGTTCTGCCCATGGAAATGAAAACCTTTCTTCATAAAACTAGTCAATTCCCAAAAAAAAATTGTACAAAAATATATAATCTATATAGGCTAGGACTTAGTAGTAAACACAGATATCGATATTTATAAATAAAACACTTGTAACTCAACTACTTATAGCGATATCCTGGGAAAAATAAAATAAAGGTTACCTACTTAGAAAGGGAGGGCCTGCCCACAGAGAGCGAGATAGTAATACATAGGTTTAGCTTCAAGTAAGTATTCTGAGTGTGGTCTCCATCTTTATCTATAACTTCATGCTTTGAACTGGACCGGATACTACGTACAAGGGATGTACACATCGTTTATGTATGATCGAGTAGAAGCAATATCCACTCGGCGAACATCCCCGATGCGCTGCAGAACCGAGGCAGCCCCATTAGCACCCTAAATGCATTATTGAATTGCACACATTATTGTATATGTTCTGGCAAACTCAACATTTAAAATCAACTAAAACCTAATGGTTTGTAGTAAACGTAGATATAAATATGTAGTGATTATATACTCTTTGGTATGTATAACAAAGTGTAAGAGTACAATATACTCTTGCCTGGCTACCTGGCAACACAAGAAAATGGCTGAGTTGTTTCTGCTTTCAACAATCTGCATTGCTCTATTATTATTTTCAGTTGAAATTTAACTAGAAAATTTATGTTCTGCCCTCTATAATTTTCAATATTGTTATTATTGTTTCGATTGATCTAAAGTGTTTTCACATTTCGGATGTTTTGTGACGCATTTGAAACATGTATGACCGCGGATGCGTTACGGGCCGCAGTTCATTGCCTTATGTAAAACTGGAAATGGTGTTTCTTCCGTGAGTGACCGAAATATACAGTGACTTATGTGTATAGTGTTAGCATTGAAGCCAGTGATTGTGAATTGTGTGTTATAATGTCTAATTCAACAGCTCAAGTGTTAATGAAAAAGGGTAAAAGGGGCGCAGCTGCATATATACATGCGGACTGCGCCAGTGGGTCGCCACAGCACTTAGGACCACTTCTAGACGTGCTGCTGAACCCTAGCAAGGCTATTGACGAATGGGAGACAATAGATTGGTGTCGGTGGTTGTTGGCCGGTGGGAGAACACCAGACGAATTTGCAGCCGTTGGTAAGTTAATACAATCATAACTGTACTCTTTTATTTGACTCGGAGTTTTCTAGGTTATAGGTTATGAGCTATTGTCAAGTTATTGTCGTCACTTTATCTCTCCTTTCTTTACTACTTTTTTACCCTTCTAACCCGTTATTTTCCTTGACAGTTTGACAGGATCTTTTAAATTTTTCTATAAATCACTTTGTAAGTGAATGGTTAATGTATCTAGAAGCATTCCGTTGTCCTATAAATTAATAATAAATTGTAACAATCTTAAATTTAATTTTAATGTCTTTTGTACAAATGCTATTTGTTTTCATGATATCAATTAATAATATTAGTCTGAGTGAAAATTATACTACATATTTATTGACCTCTTTATGGTTATTGACATTGATAATTGTGTACTACCATGTGCTAAATACACCTAGGCTCACCTGTAGATAAACTACGCAAAGTTAGCACTCTCAAATAAAATGTTTGAAAAATCTAGTTTCTTAACATACACTCACAGAAAATTTTGCCCAAAATCAAAAGTTACAATTTTTCTTTATTTTGAATGGGTTGGTGGAATGGGTTTTAAAAAAATGATTTTATACTTCAGTTTATTTAAAAATTCATCTACATGGCTATAAAATTTGATAAAACTTGGTCCATCAATCAAAAGCAAGATTTTATAAAAATGTATTTAATTTAAAAACTCACAAAAACACAAAACTAACTTAATGTTAATTTCAAGCTTAACCTAATAATGCGTATTGGCCCCCCTAGCTGCAATCATGGCCTGCATGTGGTTTTTCATGTTTTGCAGTATCTTTTTTGAACTTGGGGAATTTCTTCCCAAGCTGTCTTTAGATAGGGCTTCAGCTCTCGTAAAGTCTCTGTCGGGTTTTGCTGTTCTAACAAGCCTCTTTAGCATATCCCAAACATGTTCTCTACTATTCATATCTGGACTGTAAACAGGCCATGACTGATTTTGAATACCGACAGTAGGCAGGTACAATTCAATGATGCCAGGATGTGAACAATTGTGTTATCGTGCATTGACAAAAAATCGTTTTGACCAAAGAAGTCCAAAAAGGGTACAACATGATCTTGAGTGATTTCTTCAAGGTATGGCTGCTATTAGGCGCTGATCTACCATAACCATCTTTGTACGGGCCTCCGAGCATATCCCTCCCCATACCATGACAGATCCACCTGGATAACCAACGGTTTGGCGTGGTGTGATGGAAAGAAAAGATTCTCCTCGTCTATGCTCTCTCACAACCATCTGGTGCTCGTAAGGCTACTCTACTTTCTGTCGTGAACAAGACTTTGCTCTATTGATCAAATCTTAATATGGTATGTGGCATATTGAAAATTGGTGCATCACATTGAGTTTGTCTATGATTTGTTAACAAAACTTTTCTGGAAACGCAATGAACAACAAATCAATAAAAAATATAAAAATAAGTTTAAACCCGTAAAAACATAAAAATACATTTTAATTTACCTTGTTGACTGATGTTCCGAACAGCTATGTGCTTTATTTTCAACAAAACTCAAACTTCAACCATATTAATCTTAAATTAGCCACTTCAATAAATAAAACAGTCCACTTGACTCCTACCTACATTTAAACATAATGCTAAGTTTGTTGACCAATTTGCAATATGTTTCGACCATTTGAAACCCTTGCAAACGTAGTTTTTGAAAAAATTAAGAAAAAAATTCTTCATTATTCTTGCTCCTTTGACATAAGTATTCACATTTGATATGTTGCATTTTGTGCAAGTTGTGTTAGGGTTTTATAGAATATAATTGTACATGTGGTAGAGCAATGCTGCAGCTATATTACTGCTATAGTTTTAGTACGAATGCTGTGTTTCATATGGGGAGTGTAAAGAACTGGAGACCCTTTATACTGGAAATGAGGCATTCCATCTTAGTCTTCACGGGTGACAATGCATCTGCATTTTGATTTGTAATCGAAGATAGATGTAGATATCTATGGGCCACAGCAACCACATACTTTATGGTGGACTATGTGCTCGTTTGTCACCATTATCCTAAAAAAAAATTCTTAGTTTTGTACTTTGCAATTAAAATAATATTGCATTAGTTACAAAATGTATGTTATACAGTCAGAAGCATTATTGACTAAAGAAGCTTGGGCAAAAGTAGTTTTGACTTAAAAAATATTGGTTTATTTGTAAAAAGTTTATACAATTTATATATTGTTTTATTTTCTCGACTTAAATTTGAGACCCATGGGTTGTAGGAGTCATAGTAGTTCAGGGGCTAAGCTCTCACTGTAAAAGGCACAGAAGGGGAATAACCCTGGTTTGATCCTTGCTAATGACATTGTTAATTGTAATTGTTCATGCTGATTTACCATGTGCCATGCAGTGAACAAAAATGTCTCATCATTACAGCCCTTCACAAGTCCACTGCTGAACATAGGCCTCCCCCAAAGAATGCCACAAAGCACGGTCCTGAGCCACCTGCATCCATCGACTTCCTGCATATCTTACCAGGTCGTCACTCCATCTAGTGGGGGGACGCCCTACACTTCGCCTGCCGGTACGAGGCTGCCACTCGAGAACCTTTCTTCCCCATCGGTTGTCGGTTCTTCGAGCTATATGGCCGGCCCATTGCCACTTCAGCTTACTAATCCGTTGGGCTATGTCGGACACTCTAGTTCTACTGCGGATATCCTCATTTCTGAGTTTATCACGCAGAGAAACTCCGAGCATAGCCCTCTCCATAGCTCGCTGAGCGACCTTGAGCTTCCTCATCCGGCCAGCAGTGAAGGACCACGTCTCAGTTCCGTATGTCATCACTGGCAACACGCACTGGGTGTACAGTCTCGTTTTCAAGTTTTGAGGTATACCTGACGAGAAGATGTGCCGTAATTTCCCGAACGCTGCCCAACCGAGTTGAATCCGTCGATTGACCTCTCGGTCGAAGTTGGACTTACCTAGTCGGACTATTTGTCCCAGGTAAACATACTCGTCAACAACTTCGAGCTTAGTGTTCCCAACAACTACCGGCATAGGTGTGACATGGACATTAAACATGATCTTTGTTTTGTCCATGTTCATCTTAAGACCTATCCGTTGGGAAACACTATTGAGGTCATTGAGCATAGTGCTTAGGTCCTCCAGCGATTCTGCCATAAGGACTATATCGTCGGCAAATCGAAGGTGAGTGATGTACTCGCCATTGATGTTGATACCGTATCCTTTCCAGTCCAGAAGCTTGAAAACGTCTTCCAATGCAGCGGTGAAGAGTTTCGGGGATATGACGTCACCCTGTCTTACACCTCTCTGCAATTGGATAGGTTTCGTACTCTGGTTCTGTACTCGGATAGCCATCGTAGCCTTACTGTACAAGCACTTCAACACTTCGATATACCGACAGTCAACTTGGCACCGCTGAAGGGACTGCAGCACCGCCCAAATTTCGACGGAATCAAAGGCTTTCTCATAGTCCACATACGCCAGACATAGTGGCAAATTGTACTCCTCGGACTTCTGTACAATTTGCCGAAGGGTATGTATGTGGTCTATGGTGCTAAAGCCTTTTCGGAAACCGGCTTGTTCGGGAGGCTGGAAGTCGTCAAGTCTGCGCGCGAGACGATTCGTAATGACTCTCGAAAACAGCACGTAGACGCGGCTCAGAAGAGAAATCGGTCTGTAGTTCTTCAAGAGAGCGTTGTCGCCTTTCTTGAAGGACAAGACCACCGCACTTCTGCTCCACGCCTCCGGTGTAATGCCACCATGGAGGACGGAATTAAAGATCTTCTGAAGGACTTCAAGTACCGGTTTTCCACCCGCTTTCAGAAGCTCCGCTGTAATTCCATCCTCGCCTGGGGCCTTGCCGTTTTTATGGTGCTGGAGAGCCATTCTAATCTCGCTCAGACTGACGTCCGGGATATAATCGGAATAATGTCGGATAAGACTCGCTCTTGGATCGTTACTCACACTTGCAAAAATGTCTAATAAACTTAAAAAAAAAAAACGAAAATGTGTACTCCGCCACCTCTGCTGTTGGAGGTGTAAAGGAGTAAAGGAGGTATAATATACTTTGACATTTATAAATATTCATTATTCAAAATTGTGTAAACAAAGTGAAACATCCTACAATTTCAATACAAAATTAAGACATGTTACCTACACTTTTTATTGGGTAATCAAAAATATTAAATATTTTGTAGTTTTTGTGATTAGGATAAACAGTTTTAGGTACTAATTTCACAAAATTTATTTTAAATTATTATTATAAGTACTAAATATAAAAACTGACTGGTTTTGCCTCACGGCATTATCATGGTAACTCATCATAGTATATCATATACCCTGATGATGCCATGAGGCCGGTCGGTCAAGCCGGTTGGTTTTTATATAATAATTTAATACAAAATTTATTTAACTAACTCTAACTGTACAGTCAATCTTGTACAGCTCGAGGACCCTCTTAAGCCATGCATGAGGCACCGAGTCGAATGCCTTTTTGTAGTCTATCCAGGCGGCGGAGAGGTTCCGACGGTTGCGTTTAACCACCTTGCCAATGACAGCGTCAATGAGGAGTGGTTCCTTGGTTCCACGACCACCGCCCCTACATCCATTCTGAGCGCGCGACATCACCTGGTTTGAGTTCAGGTGACGACTGATTCTCGCGCTCAAAATGGATGTTAGTGTATTGTATATCGTGGGTAGACACGTGATGGGGCGGTATTTGCTCGGGTCTGTGGTATCCCGGTCTTTAGGAACCAAATGAGTGATCCCAGTAGTGAAGAGGCTCGGGAGCGACTTCTGGTTGAGAGCCTCTTGAAACTGTCGGGCGAGCACAGCGTGACACACCACGAACCCCTTCAGCCAGTAGTGATGCAGCCCGTCGAGCCCCGGACATTTCCAGTTCGGGGCCCTACGGACCGCCTCAACTACGTCATCCGGCGTTATGATGACGGGGTCCATGGGCGTAATATTCGCACACTGACTCGCCACAACTTCCGTCCAAAGGCCCTCGCT